AAATCTGCAGATATAGGATCAATAATACCGGGATTGTTGACATTTATTTTCATCAAATTATTGAATGACGTGTAGTCTAATTCATTTTCATCAATTTCTAGGAGGGCAACGAGTTCTTCATTTCGCTCATTAGGCCTATCCAAATGATAAACGAGTTTACTTACAATGTAAATAATTTAGGAATTATAAAAAAATGCAAACTTACGTCATATAATTTGTTCCATCTTATTAAATCTTCTGAACCAGATTCATTGTCTTGAACATAACGATAAAGATATTCCCTAATAGTTTTTCTTGCACGTTTTTCTTCACCTTTTTCTAAAAAATTGGTATTAAATATGTATAGGTGGCGCCTTTTTACATAAGCACTGACATTTCTTGTTCATATTTATTTATTCCATAATCCGGTATATTCTCAATTTCTTCATAACTGAAAGTAGTGATTTTATTGTTGTATGACCTTTAGTTGAGTCTTTTTTAACCGCGTTATCATAATATTCACTATAACAAAGATGAGTACTAATTAGTAGTAACATAATACTCCAATACCCGCTCAACGTTTTATTACTTACCGTACAGTTTTGACTGATCGTAATTTTAACATGATGAGAAGACGAGAAGTAAAAAATACCATAAATAAATTTCAGTTTTTTGCTTTATATTTATATATTATTGTATAGAGAGGAGCAATATCACTTATTATTCCAAGTCGTTTGTTTTACTTTTCTTTTTCAAGAACAATTGAAAGTGATTCATTAAAAAAAATGATTAAAATAATAGTATTTGATAAAATAGTTTGGCGTAATTTTAATTATTTTAAATAATTTTATTGTATTACTTATTGTGACATACATAGTAACTTCAGTATGATCATAAAAATTGATTCGATGATCAAACATAGCAAGAGAAGGGAACTGAATCAATTTATATTTATTGAAATAAATATAAAATTCATATAATGAACTTTATAAAGAATTGTTTTATTTTACTATTGAAAAAATAGTACCTGTTCTGTCTCTTATACACATCTAGATGTGTATAAGAGAGATCTTTTAAATTTTAATGATATCTTATATTAAAAAAAATTAAAAATTATATACTGTAATTAATTAGTTTTTTTTGCATTATCTAGTATAAATTTATTATTCTTATATAAATGATAATTTATATTTGCTTTAATAAAATTATTTTTGTGTAAAAAAATTAGATTCCAAGGATCGGCCCATATGACTTATTAATTTTAATAATTCTCCATCGGAAACTTCAATTTCTAAAACTTTGATTAGATTTTTTAACCATTCTAATCTTTTTTCTATTTCCATTTCATCATTTAATTCATTTTCATCTTCTAAATTTTCTAATTTTTTTTCATGACAGCTTTTACATATTCTTTCTATAAATTCTTTATTGTATTCTACTGCTTCTATTGCTTCTTTCTTTAATATTATTTTATTACATATTGGACATTCTATTGTATACATATAATGCCATATTCTTAATTCTTCTTCTATTCCTTTATCATCTAATTCTTCAATAGTTTTGTAAAAACTCATAAATTCTTTAGTTTTTATTATTTCATATTCTACTCTAAAATTTATTATTCGTCTTATTTTTTCAATATCAATTTCATAACCATTCTCTAACCAATAATTTCTCATTATCATTTCAAAATTTTCATCTTCTTCACTTAGATTTTCTGATACATCATCTTCTTCATTTGAACTTACTAATTCTTCTATATTATCATATTCTTTAACAAATCCTTTTGTTTCAATTAATTTTCCTATTATTCTATCAGTTAAATCATCATCTTTTCATGGTTTTACATAATTATTACTCCATTGATAATTTATATTTTTCTGAAATTTTCTTACTTTATCTCTATTTTCGTCTTTAATTATATTTTCTTCTAAATGTAATATTTCTTTAAAATATCTCATAATATTATATTTTTTATCTTTTATTGTTGTCAATTCTGATTCTTCTAACCATTCTTCAAATCTAAGAAATCTTATATCTAATTCATCATCTTCTATAATATAATTATACGTTATTAATTCTCCATTTCCTAATAAATTTTCTTCTACTTTATTATCTATTAATAAATTATCTTCTTCATCAAACATATAATGTTCACAAATTACTTTTATTATCGATTTAATTCCTATTTTCATATAATCTGGTTTATTTCTATATCTAATTGACACTATTGTTGTATCTAATAATCCTTCACTTTTTCTTTTATCTTTTCATAATTTTTTATTCTTACTTTTCTACTTGATGGATATTTTTCTTCTCCTTCTTTTCTTGTTAATGTTATATATTCCATTAATTTTATTACAGTATTCCTATTATAACTTTCTGCTTCTGATATTGCTTTTTGAAAAATTTTCCAGAATATTTTAAACCATTCTTGTTCATATTTTTTTTTCATTCCATAATACTTTAGACACGAAAGATCTTCTTGATATTTATCTTTTCTTTCAATATGCTTTTCCCTTTCATGATTAATCTTAATTTGTTCTAACATATCATATATATCTGCCATTTTCATTTATTTTCATTCAATTTTTTTTTTTTTACATTCAATTTCAAAAATTCATAATCTTTTAAATATAATAATTATATAATTCTATTTCTATTATTTTCAAAGTTCTGGCTTTGATTCTATAATTTTTCTATACATTCTATAATATGATCTATAATCGCGATTTTATTTATAAAATTTCTATATCTTGCGCAAATAAACTGTGATCAAAGCTAGGAATTATTTATAACTGAGGCCGTTTAGTATCAGATTAATATGATCATCAACAAAGGCTTATTTATACTGGGTCCTTCCAGTGTGCTCTTATTTATACTGGGGTTCTCCCAGTTCTATACACAAAATTAAACTTTTAATAACTTTTAATCTTTTCTTATATTAACTTTCAAAATATTTATTTCAAATCTATTTCATATTATTTTATTTTTCATATTTCATTTTATAATTCATTAATATTCTCTTTATTATAATTGGATAGTCACGGATTTTTAAGTGATCAATGTACTAAAATTTCTGTTGACAAACGCCCCTGGTGATACAACTATTTTTTTACTATTCTCTTATTTATTTATTATTATCATTTTATAAAATTTTGAGAAAAATATTCTAAGTCCACAATCTCCTCAGACTGGAGAGGTCTATATATATTTTACTGCACCTCATCACGTGACTTATACTTTCTTTTATTTTCTTCTATTTACTGCGCCTCATCACGTGATTTATATTACTCACATGATTTGTATAACATTTCATTTCTACTGCGTTTTGATCACGTGATTTTTACTGCGTTTTTAACACATGATTTGTCATAGTATAATTCTTATTTTTATTTATTCATTTTCTGTAACCGAACTTAGTGTTCCGCACGAATCAAATTTCTCCTCTGAAATTTGATTCAATTCGAACTTGATTCGGACTCGATTCGACCGCCAATAATTATTATCTCAGGATCCAGTGATCCAATTTCGATGATCTTTTTTTTAATCGATAGGTCTCATTGCCCTAATCAAAATAAAAAAAATGATTGTCGAAATCAGACTGCTAGATCAAAAGATATTCGCAAAATACGTTTTTATTATTTGGGAGCAATCAGGGTCACACCGTGTCATGAATCGATTCGTGCGGAACACTAACCGAACTCATGTTCTTTTCTTCTAATTAAATATTTCATTTTATATTGTTTACACAACATGCTTACGCAATTTCTTTTTATTTTTATATTACATCATTATTACATCATTTATTTCATATAATTCATTATTATCTTTTATAATCTTTCATATCATTCTTTTATTGTAATAAAATTATTTTTCGTATATCAAATAATAACATTTCAATATTTCTCATATTTACAATATCATTTAATTTTCTTTTTCATTTAGTAACCTATACCAGGCTTGCCTTTACCTTCTTCATAGAAGTATAGTAGTTTACGGGTTTATTACTAATAATTTTTCTTTTCTTATAATACTTTTGAATTTTTTAATCATTTATTAACTTTTTATTATTCACAAAATTCATTCTCATTATAAATTTTTATTTTCATTTAATTTTTAAATTTTTTCATTATTATCTTGGATATTTCATTCATCCTTTCGATATATACTTTTTCAATATATCGTATATTTTCATTTCTCATATATTCTGTAATATTCCTTTTTCATAATATTACTTTCTCTTATTTCTCGTATACCATTCAATAATATTTTAATATTTCTTATATATTTTCTTTTACTATATCCTTTTTCATATATAGTAATACTTTTCTCATATTTCAGATAAGTTTTCCTTATCTATTATTTCTTTGATGATTTCTCATATCATCTTTTTCTTATCTTTGATGATTTCTCATATCATCCCTTTCTTATCTTTGATGATTTCTCATATCATCCCTTTCTTATCTTTGATGATTTTTCATATCATCCTTTTCTTATTAATTTCACAAATTTTTCTTTCATTTTCTCATATAATTTTCTTTTATTTCTCATTTAGATCTTGTATGAAGACAACAATCTTTTACTTTCTCACGAGCATGCACCAAAAATGTGACACACCACCCATAGGATATTAAAATAAAATATCGTATGTTGCCACCGACGTGTTGAGTTCAAATAATATCTATGCTTGGTTTAAAATAAAAATTAGTTACAAAAATTACAAAACATTATTTTCTTACCCAAATATTATTTTTATTTATTTTAAAATCAAACTTCAAACTCGAACTGCGGAATTTCCTATCGAAATCCACTTGTATTTATACATTTTAAGAAAAATATTTCTAATACGACTATCTTTTTTCTAATAAAAATTAAGAAAATAAAAGATCCATTATCATATGACTATCTCGTTACACTAAACTAAACTATAAATATAAATTTTTATCGGCTAATTATTTACCCATCGGTTAATTATTTATCCATCGGCTAATTATTTATCCTTATTCTATTTTATTGTATTTTCGGTTATTACAATGTATCGGGAATAATTTTTCCGAAATACTTTGATTCGAGGAATAAATAATTACATAACTATATCAATCTAATTATGTAACTAGAGTAACTAGATGATATGATGAAATGTTAATGTATTAATTTGATTTGACTTATAAACATTTTTTTCTTCATCAGAAAAATATCGATGGACGGTCAAGTTTAACAACAACAAATTCAAGTTCAACAAACTTGGTACGGAAGAATGTGGGCAGTTTTAAAGAAAATTTATGGTTAAGTATTTCTGCGCCATTTCTTTGCTAGTCAACATATCAATAAATTTTGTATACTATATCTTTAGATTTCGTGAGCATTTTCGTTAAAGTCGTTTCGCTTATTGGATCATTGGCATCCATTATATCCTTATTAACTTACTTGGTATTCTACGCTATCCAAATAAATGACGTATGTATGGTAACTTCAAACGGTGTCACCTGTTTCACGTAATAACATCTTGACTTTTTAGAAAATTATCATGATGAATAAAAACATGGATTCGGGGTACAAAAATCTAGAAGAAAGAATAGATTCGCGTTTTGGAGAGATGGCCAAAAAATTCGATCTTTTCAGTGACAAGATTTCCGTTAGGGATAGAGAGATCGACGTTATAAATAAAGAGATTGCTGTTGTTGATGGAAAGCATTCCGCTACTAAAAGTAACATCGATGAAAAGATTGGAATATTCAAAGATAGACTTGATCTAGCCGACAAACAGATTTTCACTATACAAGAAAGATTAAAAAGAAAGTGGGGGAGTTAATACTTAAATTTATGTGAAATGGAACCTATTTTCAGTAAAAGATAAATTGTATTGTTGCTAATAGGGCTATGTCTTACACACGTTTAAAAAATTCGAAGTAAAATCTTCATTACATTCTTGCTAGAATGCAAATTTAATTTATCTAGCTAACAAAATAAAAGTATTATACTGCATGTGCTATTACTATTAATGTAAAATAATATATGACAAAAATGAATGTAAAAAATAATAGAGAGGCAATATCAGCCTGGTTCTGACAAAAGATCCGCAAGATGTCAAGATGCCAATTGCCAAGCCCATGCTGGTACAGGTACATGTTCTACATCTTCGAATGCAAAATTATCGCAACATATGTTCACACCTGAGTAAAAATTTTTCCGATATCGACTACTGCGCATTTCAGGTGATTATCTCACGGGTTCAGAATACCGCAGTCTCTTTACATCTTACTTCTCCTGTGTTTAAATTTAATTCTCTCAATGAATCGATGGATTGAGCGTTTGACATGATTGATAATACTGTTTATGCACTAAATATTCAAAAAAATTTGTCCCGCCGATCATTTTTGCCAAGAAAAATTTATTATTAAAAATAAATACAAAGTTCGGGACGTAGCCTGCGATACATGACGAAATTTCTATTCCTAAATCCTAATTCTACAATCTAACTAACAACCTCACATTTACGTGACTTAGAGATTCGCCCCGCGTTCTTTACGATATGTCTGCTATAAAGTTCATATTTATTAATGATAAAAAACTAAAGTTACAAGAAATCGCAATACAGGAATTTGTTAATAATAAATTCTTACGCTTTATATCTATCTAGCAAGTTAGAATATTTGAGGTGTTCTTCCTCGAGCTTTCTCTTCTTTTTTGTGTCCCGACTTGCCATACCGAAGTCAATCAGATAGACGTCACCGTCATCGTTAATTAAGATGTTTTCCTCCCGAATGTCATTGTGGAGGATGCCATGCTTGTGGTTCGCTTCTAATCCCTTAATAGCCCTTGTCTTTTGCTGTTTCTTTATTTTTTGGTCGCTCAACGAAGTGCCGACAATAGTCATGCCGATAACGAAGCTCATACCTCCTCCATAATATCCATAACAGACCAACTTCGGGATATACTTGCCTTGGATATCAGCGAGTTCCTTGTAAATCTCTACTTCCTTCTGCATTTCTTTCAGAACATACGATGGAGCCTTCGACAAGTCTACGCTCTTCAAAGCAATCGTATCGCCACGAAACTCGCAAAGGAGTGTTTTACCACTTCGTCCTTCACCTAGTATGCCCTTAAACTTGAAGTCCGCGAAGCTAAACTTTTGCTGGTTTACTGGGATGTTAGAAGACGATTGTTGATTTGCAAAAGTGCCGGAAGTTGATTGTTGATCTATTGAGGAGCTGGAAGTCGATTTCGAATGTGACCGAAGATTACGTGAATTATTGTCTCCATGAGCCGGCACTAGTACTTGAGGTTTAGGAGACTTGGGATTCTCTTTCGCCCGTCGAGTTAGATAAGCATATGCCTTGAGTACAGGTGGAGTTTCAGATTGAAGTGGGAGGGTTTTTGAGATCCAGAGCTCTGTATGCTCTCGGAGTAGAAACCAGTGATTATCATAGGTGGAGAGAATACCATATCTAAGTTCGTTTCCTCCCATATAATTATAGATTTGTTGAACTACATCCTTGCCTTTACTCGTCTGATAAAATTCGGGAAATGTTTGTTCCCCCATATCTTCTAAAACATGTTTTCTTTTAGCTTCCATCACCAAGATCAATGAACCCACGAGATGACAGTTGAAATCTGGTATGCCGGGAGTGTCAGTAGATTTCCTTGAATATACGTAGTCTGGTCCTGTAAGATCATTCAATATCATACAAATATTAACATTGATGGCATTACGAACATCCTCTTCATCGACCACAGCAAATCTATCATTAAATCTCGGCCTCTCGAATATCGGCTGTTGGTCGAAATTAAAGCTGTTCACTTGCTCGAAAAAGTCTCCCCAAAGTTGCACACTACAACCTGTCGATCTTTATTTATTTATTTTTCTTGCCGGTGGGTCACCTACAGCCTTAGTAGTGGTCTTCGAGGTAACGCAGTCCGTAGAATATGTTATCGGTGGCGGAATACACGACAACGCCTCTTCCAAGCTGAGAACTGGAAACGAAAAAGTGTTAATATTACTAGGCCAAATGACGAAAATTAGCCGTTAAGGCGCTTTGCACAGACTATACCAGACACTTACGTGGCAATTTTACAATAACATGGATATCGTCCTGATCGCCAGGGATCGACACCTTCCATAGCTTGAGCCTGTCTGCGTCAATACCAGCGAAGTCATTTTGTTTTTTCGCCTTTATAGCGTCCTTGAGGTGGCTAACCAACTTTTCCCTATCAAATATCTACGGCAAAAGCACTCGCGGTCGTATTTCCTTTGACGAGACATAGTAAAGTGATAGGCATGTTTTCGGCTTATATAGTATTTTTTGCGGAATATTATTGGTGCAAACTGGCGTAAGTGAGGACAAGAATAAAAAAGATTTTATTTGGCGAAAAAAATACTGAGGCAGACTATATGTGAGAAATTATTCTGTTTCACAAGCCTGCCGTATGATCGGCCAGGTGCAACGATCGCCTAATCACTGCGCCTCCCTAACCGTGAAGACTCTTCTCACTTATCACCTGACGTTTTTTATATAGGCTAGACTGGTTCGGATAAAAAATGTTAGATTTATAGTCCTGATATTTCATTGCACGTGACCCTTTCTCATATACGTTCGATAAAATAATACTTTATTTATGAAATAAAATAGTTGCCGGTAGCCGGCCTATAATACATAAAGATTGGCCGTTAAGGCGCTTCGCACGACTATATCGCTATTACACGATGTGAATAAAAATATAACTAGTTTACTTTCTGATTCGCTAGAGCCCAGTATCCTCGGGATCTTTTTCCAACACTTCCTGGAGGTATACGATAACATGAATAGGACCTATTTCACCATCATATTGAAGATAAGGAGGGTTTTTTTTAAGTCCTTTTATATCTTCCACGGAAAAATAATAAGTAAACTTATTGGGAGGCTCCATCAATTCCCCTTGTTTTTTTTCGGTAGTATTCACAGTATTGACCAAACCATGATTGGGTTGTTTGAATTTTCTTACATATAGATTGAAGTTTTTTTGACTTAAGTCTTGCCGGACCTTTCTGATTTCGACTCCCATATTTTCTACGGTTGAATTATTATCAATTACTACAGGGAAAATATCTTTCCCAGTCTCGCCACGAACAAAGCAGACGAGATGAATATTACTAGTAGTGGAAGACATCATGCTTTCCTAAATACAAGGCTCATAGTGAGAAAAAACTCGCTCCCATACATACATAATTTAGGGCATATACATACCTTATTTTGCGTTATTTTACGAGAAAGTTTTTTGCGGAAAGTTGGCTGAACTTCTACATGCTCCTACATGCTTTATATCTTGCTGGGAAAAAGAGCGAGTTAAGGAGGTATGAGGCGTAATTAGTATTGTTGTCTGATGCCAAGAGCTCTATGAAAGCACATGTAAACGGAATCCTCATACCTTTTCACATGGAGATCTACCGGAGAGACACATAGTTGGTTTTACGCCTGGCGATCTCAAAATTGCAAGTCCCTCAGCCTTCCATAACATATGCTTTTGATGTTAATATTTACTTATAGGGAAGGTCCTGTGTTGCTTGTAGACATTCTTTCACATTTTTCTCATGTTTGGGAAAAAAATAGAGGTATTGGTTAGTATATATAACTTTCGATATATGTGAAAAAAAAATAATGTTTCACAGACTGACCGTGTGATCGGCCATTACATCATTGCACAGAAATCTATGGCTCAGCAAATTCTTCCGAGCTGGTGATCACCGCTCCGGATTAGTTAGATCGGTAGAGTACCACCATTCTGCGGAAAATCTTACCACACCACCCTCGGTTACACAGTGACATTTAGCGCCACATTATCACGTGATATCCGCGTTCGCATTTTTTATATTTATCTGAGGGACTTAGTTTTTTTTTACTAGCCTGATCTCTATTTGTCACACACCTCGGACATCACACCCAACAAATATTTGTGTAACCGAGGGTGGTGTGGTAAGACTACCCCCATTCTGCTTGATCGGCTAGTATTCTATCAAAATAATTCCTTGGTGATCGTCTGATAGGGTGCCAGAATATCAGTTCTAAAGCCTGCGCCAAATTCTGATTGTTACGCATATTTAAATCTAAAATTCTCTGAAGGCTCTAAAAGCTCTGAAAGCTCTGAAGGCTCTGAGCTAAAATCTGTCCACTAGCAATGTTGTTCTGTGTAAGATGATTTCTAAGCACTCCAATGAGATCAGGAGGCGTTATAGTATCCACAAAATTCTGATATTTGGATTTAGTTTATCTACAGCTTCTTTGCTGATTATATAACACCCCCTCAGATTAAGATATTTTAAATTAAAACATGAACTAGCAATTTCTTCGATAGTTGTATCGGTAATTCGATAAAAGCCAAGGTCGAGTTGTTGGAGCCTTGGGCAAGAGCGAATAACATTACAAATTGATGTTTTGGAATATTCTATGCGATTAGAGATATTTAGATATTCTAATCTATGGCATGAATTTGCGATTGCAGATAAACCTCCATCACCTACTTCTCGAATATGAAGGCTCAAGGCTTACATAGTTACCCAATCGATCATCACACAGATTGATATACCTCAGATTCAGGTATGAACCCACTATCAGTTCTAATGCCCTATTACTAAATCCTATGCTATTTTTGAAACTCAAATGAATTATATTTGGGCATGAATGTATAATGCTTATAATTTTTTTATCTGAAAGTGAATGGTAATATGAAATTTCGAGATGAGTTACATTTGAGCAATAAACTGGCGTTTGCTTTCTATGTACTAGCTTTATGAATTTTTTCAATCGAAAGAGATCCTTTGCACGTTCTATCCTTATGAATTTATTTAATCGAGAGTGATGCTTTACACAGTAATTATAATCATTTGGAAGAGATTGCTCAGAATATAAGTCTTTTCCCTTTAGCTCAATACGCCTCCATAGAATAGGAGCACTACATCTGTACCACAGTTGGCCGACAAATAGAGCGGAATAGAGGGATTTATCTATCAATAAGAAATATAAAATCTGTTCTAATAGTTCTAGTAAATAAAAGATGCTTGTTTGCGCCATACATAGTGCATATTAGTATATGTTATATCTTTAAACAAAAAATAGCAAAGCACCTTCGGGAAAATTATGCGATCACCGCTCCGGACTAACTAGATTATTCAGACTCTGATTCAGTTTCAAAGCTAAAAGATTCTGAATCAGAATAGTATTCTTTATCAAAATTTTCGATATTTATATTTGGATTTAGCTGGTTTATGGCTTTTTGCTAATATTTTCACATCCTTCCAAATCTAGAGATTTTAAATTGAGACATGAGCGAGCAATTTCTCTGATAGTCGTACTGGTAATATTACAGTATCCAAGATTGAGATACTAGAGTTTTAGGTAGGAACATATAACATTACAAATTGATAGTTCGCTGACAAATGAACAACCACTTAGCTCGAGATGTTCTAATTTATGACAAGTATGAGCCAGTGTTTCAGTAACCTCATCACCAATATCATTATAACCGATCTCTAAATGTCTTAAATTTGGAGATGTTCTGATGATAGCCACAATTAATGCATCATTATGGAAAGCCATAACACCAGCAAAGTTAAGATACTCTATGCTGAGACATCTCTGTATTAACATACTAGTATCTTTGACATCCCCCTTACTATACAGTCAAAGCTTGTTATAGTGAACTTTCAGTTCCATCTAATTTTGTTTACTGTAATGAATATTCACAAAAATGGGAGATTTCTTTATAGTGAATTTTATATGAATAAAAAAAAAAGTTTCTTATAACACGAATTTTTTAAACTTTATTATTTTCTTGAATATTTAACATTGCATAAAACTATCTAATGTGGTTTGTTTTGCATTATCTTGAATTTGCTTATTAATTTTTGATTTTAAAGCATAAAGAGTTTTTAACTCTGTATAATCAACCAAAATATTATCAGGTAGATTTTTAAAATACTGAACCACTTTCTCTAAACTACTCAAAGCTTCTTTATTAGAAATACTAATATTTGTTTCTAATTCATCGTCCTCTTCTATGTCATCATTTTCAGGTCTTGAAATTATTGCAGCAATAATTTCTTCATCAGATAATAGCTCTATTGGTATTTCATCATCAATATGAATAAATCTTTCAGCTGTAATTATATATGAAGTCGAAATTAAAGCCCAAAAGTAGAAATATTTCGACTTGGGAAGGTCAAAAGTCGAAATTAAAGTCGAAATGGTCAAAATTACATCATAGTCATGTGATTTTTATAATTATAATTTAATATAAAATTTTAAACGTGAATAACTCC